TAGACATAATACATACTTGGATTTATAAATAATAAATTAATCTTGAAACTAGTGCATGCATGTGCATGCTAAGATTGCATTTATAATAATAATAATAATATTATTATTATTATTACTATTATATATAATAATATTATTATTATTATTTATAATAATAATATCAATGGTAAAAGCAGTGAGATGAATTTTTTTCAATATAAGTAGTAATGTTAGCACTTCTCAAACTAACATAGGTAGGTAGGTAGGTAGGTGGCTTAGTGTTGTTGTTGTTGTTGTAGTTGTTGATATCTTTGAAATAGATTAATGTTTGAAATGTAAAGTACCTTATTCTCTCTCTTTATATATATATATATATATATATATATCTTCACTAATAATAATTTCTTGGGGAATACCTGGTTTACAAAGGAACCAGCGCGATTGATTACATATAGGTCAGGGGAGCATAGATCGATGATGGACTATATATTGGGTTAGGGTTAGGAAGTATGTGAAGAATGTGAAGGCGATACCTGGCATGCTGCAGCATAGTATGGTTGTGATAGATGTGACATCAAAAGAAATGGGGAGGAGGAAGAAGGATAAGTTTGTGGCAAAGAGAAGACATGGAAGTTGCAGGATGCAGAGGTGAGGAAGGCATTTGAAGTGAAGGTGGCTGAAAATCGGGAGAGTGGTAAGGATGGAGATGTTTGGGAGAGATACAGGGACTGTGTGTTGGCCCTCGGCAGATAAAGTATGTGGATGGACGAAAGGAAAGTGTAGGCATGGTGAGACGTGGTGGTGGGATGAAGGGTTTTGGAGGTCAAGAAGGAGAGGTTTAGGGTATGGAGAAGGGACATGACGGAGGAAGCGGAGTTTGAGTATAGGAAGGCTAAGAAGGTTGCAAAACAGGCAGTGGCAACTGCAATGACGAAAGCATCAGATAGGTTAATGAAGGAAATGGAATTTGATGTAAGTTCGAGGAAAATGTTCAAAGTAGCAAAGCAGTCAATGAGGGATAGGAAAGATGTTATAGGGAATGGATGTGTTTGGGATGGATCTGGCAAGTTGTGCATAGATGAGGAGGAAAAAGCTCAGGTGTGGAAAGCTCATATGGAAAGGTTGATGAATGAAGGGAATGAGTGGGATGGAGATGTGGAATCCGCGGTCACGCACGGACCTATAGAGAAGGTGACGATGGAGGAAGTAGAGAAAGCAGTTAGAGAAATGAAACTAGGTAAGGCGACAGGGGTTTCGGAAGTGGCGGCAGAACCTATAAAAGCGAGTGGGGTGATAGGAATTGAAGTTATGATGAGAATTGCTAACAGTATGTTTGATGATGAAGGTATACCTGAGGATTGGCGACACAGTGTGTTGGTGCCGTTGTATAAGGGCAAAGGAGATGTGAGAGATTGTGGGTCATATAGGGGTGTGAAATTGCTAGAGCACGGAATGAAAGTAGTGGAGAGGGTGCTTGAGAGGAGGTTGAGAAATATGGTGACAGTTAATGAAATGCAGTGTGGGTTTATGCCTGGTAGGGGAACGGCGGATGCGTTGTTCATGGTGGGAATGTTGCAGGAGAATTATAGAAAGAAGAAACGAAGATTGTACATGTGTTTTGTGGATCTAGAAAAGGCTTTTGATCGAGTACCGAGGAAGGTCATTGAATGGGCGTTGAGGAAGAAAGGAGTGAATGAGAGACTTGTTAAAGCTGTGATGCAGCTGTATGAAGGGGCAAAGACAAAGGTGAGGGTTGGAAGGGGGATGTCGGACGCTTTTAGTGTTAAGGTAGGAGTGCATCAAGGATCAGTGTTATCACCGTTTCTGTTTGCAATTGTGATGGATGTTGTGTGTGGAAACATAATGGAGGGTTGTTATTTGAGATTTTGTATGCAGATGATTTAGTCTTGATGGCTGATAGCATGGAAGAATTGCAGTTAAAATTTGATAGATGGAAAAGTGTTATTGAAAAGAAAGGGTTAAAAGTTAATATTGGTAAGACGAAGGTAATGGTGAGTGGGGAAGGTGGGGAGCGATTGATAAGTAAAATAGACCCCAATGGGGTATGTGACAGGAGAGTGAAGGCTAACTCGGTAGTGGTGTAGTGGTGTGAGGGGGGCACTGAAAAAGGTGGAAGACACGTTCAAATGTAAGAAATGTGTTCATGGTGTAATTAATAGGACGGACGCAAGGACGGGGTTGAGTGGTGGTATTGAAAGAGTGGAAAGCTTTGTTTACTTAGGGGATAAGCTGAACGCGGATGGAGGATGTTTGAGCGCAGTTACGGCAAGAGTTCGTGTAGGATGGATGAAATTTAGGGAACTGGGTGGGGTATTGTGTGGAAAGAAATGGTCAGTGAAGATGAATGGGAGGGTATATAAAGCATGTGTGAGAGCAGCGATGGTATATGGTGGTGAAACTTGGGTGTTGAGGAGAGAGAGGAGGAAAGTGTACTGCAGAGAGCTGAAAGAGCTATGGTGAGGATGATGTGTGGGGTTAAAGTGAAGGATAGGAGGAGTAGTACAGAGCTGATGTCAATGATGGGACTGAATGAGGACATTGTGACATTGATAAGGAGATCGAGATTGCGATGGTATGGACATGTGTTGAGAAGGGATGAAAGGGTCGGGATTAGGCGAGCGTTGGAGTTCGAGGTTGAAGGAGTGGTAGGAAGGGGTCGTCCGCGATTGGGATGGAGAGAGCAGGTGGAGAAGGACAGGATGAAAGCGGGGTTGCGTGATACTGAGGCGAGTGACAGATGTGGATGGCGTCGAGGGGTATTTCGGTTTCATCATAGGTAGCCAAACGGCAACCCCCGATCTCGGGGAAAATGTCGTCTAAACGTGTGTTGTAATAATAATTTCTTGCCACTAGCCATTGTGATTAATATCAATGCAATTTTTCTCTCAATACGTTAACATCTATAGTTGGTTTGTTCATTGATACCATAGTCATCAGTGTCTTTATCTTCATGTTATGTTATTTGTGTGTGTGTGTGCCTGTGTGTGTGTATGTGTGTGTGTGTGTGTGTGTGTGAGTTTGTATATACGTGAGCGTGAGTGTATGTATGTATGTGTGTGTATTAGAGGAATAATGGCTCACATTTTATTGCACAGAACCAAACAAGGTCATTTTTCTTACCCACCACTGCATTCTTAGTGAAGGTAATTACCCAGACATAAAAACAAACAAACAAGCAAACAAACAAGCAAACGTACATCCATACAAAAAACAAACCAAGGGTTTCGTATTTATTATCTTTATCACTGTTATTAATCTTATTTTTAATATGTTGTTGTAGTTGTTGTGCTCTTGAAGTTTTCAGAAAGTGCTTAACCTTATTTTAGGACACATGCATACATACATGCTCTTGCCCATGTATTTAGATTCTAGAATGGGCACACATGTATAAACATACATACATACAAACATACATACACAATTGTTGCAAACAAACAAACAAACAGACATACTAATATACATAAATCATATAAGTATGCATGCATAAATAGGCAATCATACAGACCCATTCACAAATACACACATACAAATATAAGTGAACAAACATGCACGCGAACTTACAAACATTCAGACAAATGTGTATGCCAACACTTTTAGCAGAGTTACACCTTGAAATTTTTTTAATGCCTTGGGAAAAATACAAACAAACAAACACACATATACATACAAACAAACAAGCACACATACAAACACACAAACAAACACACATACAAGTAAATACACATACAAGCAAAGAAGCATACAAATACGCAGCATATGCTTGTAAACAAGGAACATTGCTCTGTATTGATATATTATATTTTTTTTTATTATTTAAAAACATGTCTGGCCTGCCTTTGCTTTCGAATATTCTTTTTTATTTTTAATTATTACAGGAATATAATTACACAGAATGAACGAATGAATGATCTCATTCGATCATGAATGAATGAATGAACGAACGAATGAATGAATGCAAATTATCAAATTATTATCTTTAATTTTAATAATACGTGACTTAATTCATGAATGGTCTCAATCCTGATTATTGCAAATATTAATGAAAAAGTTTTTTAGTTTCTGCTATAAATTTATGGCGTTTATTTGCTTGTTTGCTTGCGTGTGCGTTCGTGTGTGTGTGTGTGCGTGTGTGTGTGTGTGTGTGTGTGTGTGTGTGTGTGTGTGTACACGTAGTGTAGTCAATGTTGAAAACAACTGTATCTGATGATATATGACGATGACAAAGGTTGAGGATGATGATCTATCATCTGGTATATTTAATGAACTGTTAATATGCGTTGTACATATTTTTATTTATTGATATACATATCCACACGCACGCACGCACTAGTACTTATTTTGCTATTTTTACTTCATTCAATGTCTTCTATGCTCACTCTGCCTATCATTTGTCTTCATTCACTTTATTCATTCTACTTTTCTCATTCAAAGGTTCATTCAGGCATTCTTTTAGTCCTTGTTTATGCTTTCAACTATTCGTTCGTTTATTCATTCGTTCATTCATTCATTCACCCATTAATTCATTCACCTATTCATTCATTCATTCACTCACTCATTCACTCATTCATTCCTTTGTTGCAGGCAATGAAAGCATTACTCCGTACTGTACACATTTCTAGTTCATTCACAGCGTAATGAACAACATCAACAATAACAACAATAAAAATAATAATAATAATATGTATGTGAAGAGCTTTTTTTATGTTCTGTATTAAAAACCTGGTTGATTTAATGTAAAACCTTGTAATGTAATGTAACCTTACTTCAGCTAATATTGTTGTTCTATGCTCCTTACTATATGCTATTATATTATTATTATCTATTTATATATTTATGTTATATATCTTAGCTATCGTCAATCATAATTTTATGGAAAGTTTACATGTATGAGGGCAGAAAATATAATTTTCATTAGGTTCAATTGAAAATTTCATAACTTGGCTGCTTCAATTGAAAGGAAGTTTATAGCAATCTGCACTCATTTATAATACTAACGGGAAATGAGTTTGTCGGTGGCAGTAGGTTAATAATTAGCGGCTGTGGTGTCTCTGGTCTTGAGGCGCTGTTCCGACTAAAAGTTGTTGAGATATTTGAAAAAATGATGATTTGCTAGTGAGAAGTCTGGGTGGTATGGTGGGTGAAGGAGAATCTTGTAACCCAGGACGTTCAGAATGTCTGTTGTGTAAAGCGTGGCCAGGCTGGAAGATGGGACTCTTCCATTCAACGAGTGCTCGGTGCGGTTCACTCTTCTTGAAGAGAGCTTCTGGCTTCCATTTTGGTTTACTGAGCTGAACGTTGTCTGTTGTCTTATAAGATCTATCTCTTTCAGTACAGGTCACAATCCATTCCAAAACTCTTCAGCGTCTATTTGATAAAAACTATATAGAGGAATAAATAACCTATGCAATGATGATGATGTACAGTTGTCAATAGGTTCAATGCAATTAATTTAAAAGCTTTGTGTTAAAATATTAGCGACGCCAAATCGAAGTTGTTTTGGCACGAAGCTGCTAAATAGAAACTTCTAATAATTTTTGCTTTCTAAATTTTTAAACTTTTGTAGTTTATAATTTTATTGTGCAAATTATTTTTTTATATTTTTATATTAGGAAGTCGAGGCCATTAATATGCGTGAATCAAATAAAGTGGCCGTCACCCGGACCAATCAGATGCCAGATAAGTATGTCACTCATTCATTCATTCATTCATTCATTCATTCATTCATTCATTCATTCATTCATTCATTCATTCATTCATTCACACAAACTGTTTTTATTTTATGTACAAGCGCCTTGTTTTTAATAGATTAAAATATTTTAAATAGTGGAACTAGAATGGAAGTCGATGAAATAACTTTTGAATAATAAATTTATGAGTTGTTGTTGTCATCATCATCGTTAAAAGTTATTAATTTTTTTTTCGAATTTCTAAACTACCTTGCTAACATTTTTTTGTATGGCAATAAATTATCTCAGCAATAGGTGTCAACATCAACAACGAGACAACAACAACAACAACCGCAACAACAACAACATCAACAACAACTTCAACTACAGCATCAATTAATTCTACAACAAAAACAACTACAGCAACATTCTATATCACCTCAGCAACACCATCAACAACAACATCAATTACTTCTACAACAGCTACAACAACAGCAGCAGCAACAACAACATCAGCAACAACATCAGCAACAACAACAGCAGCAACAACAACAGCAACAACATTACTATGGACCCCCAACGCTGTCGCCTATATCAGATCATTTCCCCGGCACAGATGCCTATGAACTGAAAGGGCAGAAAAGATTATGGGTCAGCCATCACGATAAACCATCAGCATCATCGTCGTTATCATCATCGTCATCGCTACTGATCGCCACTACATCATCATCAGCAGCAGCAGGAGCAGCAGCAGCATCGATGATGTTATCGTTATCATCTTCATCGTTTCCTCCTTCATCTTCATCGTCGTCGTCGTCGTCATTATTTCGTCACCCGCCGACGTCAGCATCGTCCGTGAATGTGGCTGCCGAAGGGAAGCATGTTGGTGGCCAGCCTAAGAAGAAGATCAAGTCCAATAATTATAATAATTATAATTTGAATGTAATTAATAATAATAATAGTAATAATAATAATGATAATAATAATAATAATAACTTGACCAACTTGCACAACGTCAAAAACAATAACACCCTATCTACCTCTAATGTAATTTTTTCAACCTATAACAGTATAAATGTGAATAATAATAATATGAATATTAATGATAACAATGATGACGATGATAATAGCAACAATAATAATAGTAATAATAATTTGCTTTTGTTGAATGCACTGGATGCTAAGGTGATTAATGCTATTGTAATTAATGTAATTGCATTGTATAATGAATTGATGTTATGTGATGTGGTGTCACCTATCAGTCAGTTCATTTTAATTTGTTATTTAATTTGTACTTTTAGTTCAATGAAGTATTTGATAAGTACTGTGTGTTTGTGTGTGTGTGTTTGTGTGTGTGCGCGGCGTTTGTTTGTTGCGTTTATTTTTCTCTTTCTCTCTCTCTCTCTCTCTCCTCTTTCTCTCTCTCTCTTTCTCTCTCTCTCTCTCTGTTATTGTGGTTGTGGTTAATTATATGACTTAATCATGTTGTAATGAGTTACTTAACTTTCCTGATGTACCAACCAATGCAGAACCCATATAACATTCAACAAGGATGGAGACCCCAATTACAGCCACCACTCCTCCTACAGCCACAACAATTACAGCAGCTTCAACAACTACAGGTACAACCGCAACAACAACTACAACAATTACATCAACTTCAACAACTACAGCAACAACAGCTTTTGCAACGACAATTAATGCAACAACAACAACAACAGCATTCAAACCCACTTATCGAAGCTAGCATCAGCAGCAATGAAGATGACATCATTGCCAGTCAGGAGAATTTGAAATTGACAGCCAAAAGTTTGCAGAGCAAGATGAGTAAGATAACTAAGGAGGAGGTGCTTATTGAACAGTCCATCATCAACTTGAAGCAAAACCTGGTTGGTTTCCTTTATTTTCTCATTCATTCATTCATTCATTCATTCATTCATTCATTCATTCATTCATTCATTCATTCATTCATTCTGGGAGTGCAAAACCTCCGTTCGTCGCCCACCTCAACCGAAGTTGCTACGTGAAATTTTTTCAAGTACAGCAATTAATACATGTTTTTTGATAAACTTTGTTAGCCATGCTAGAAATAAATAATAATTACAATAGTAATTGGAGTTAATAATTGGTGTTTTACAGCAAACTCATTCTTTTGAAAGCTCAAGAGATCACACGGTGAGTCAGCCAGCCAGCCAGCCAGTCTATATAAATGTTTAATCATATTTATTTGATTGCAAGTGCTTCATACTTGTTTCTGCCTTCCCATTCTTGTTTCACATTTATTTCATATCCATCTATTGAACCTCTCAACGATGAATGATCGGCTATTAAAATGGAAAGTTTCCAGATTTGTGGGGCAAGAAATATTTTTTTGTTAAAATTGCAGCAGAATTATTTGATCCATTTGCAATATGACAACAACAACAACACACGTTTAGACGACATTTTCCCCGAGATCGGGGGTTGCCGTTTGGCTACCTATGATGAAACCGAAATACCCCTCGACGCCATCCACATCTGTCACTCGCCTCAGTATCACGCAACCCCATTTGCAATATGAACACTAGTTTATGCAAAGAACCTTTTGTAGAAGCTCCTACAATTTTCAACTGCGTCTTATTGATCGGCAAACATCGTCAGATCTATACCAATCAAATCGCAATCCATTCATCCATTCATTCACTCCTTTATCCATTCATCACAGAATCAGTTAAATGAAAAAGTTTCATCAGAGGACAGATTTGAAGATGATAGTGCATCAAATGAACAACAGCAGCAGCAACAGCAGACAACCGCATCAACAATTTCATCATTATCAAGGGCTATTTATAGCCAAAATAAGGTTTATACACACACGCACGCACACATTCAACACATTCCAACACACACACACACAGACACATTCATACATACATACACTATAATTACGCTATAATTACAATAGTAGTTGTTTGTCTTTGGGGTTAATTAATTTAATGATTCCTGTGGCTTAGTTTTTTAGTTTTCTTAAGTAGTAGCTGGCGTCAATTATATTAATAATTGACATTTAATGTTAATATTTATATATATATATTTATTTATAATATGTTAATTATTGATCATAATTAGTTTATTTATAATTTTTTAAATATTTTTGTTTGTTATAAATCAAGCATGTAGCCAATCAGTCACACAACAGCTTGTATAAGTATCACAAACTGGATCATGTTCAACTGGTATACCTTTTATATTTATTTTAATTTTCATTCATTCTTTTGTTCATTCATTCACTTATTCCTTCACTCATTTAATCATTCATTTATTGGTTTATCCTTTCTTCAATTCAATTCAATCAGTCATTCATTTGTTTCTTTACTGGTACACTCTTAGCTAGTTTGTATATATTTATGAATATATATTTAAATTTATCAATGTAATAATAGGATTTTTTAATTTTAATTATTTTAATACTAATTAATAATAATTATTTCATATCTTTCACGATTATTATTTTAAATAATAGTAATAATAATAATAATGATGATGATGATGATGATGATGATGATTTTGTTCCAACTAGCCCTTATACAGACAGCCTTCTGATACTGAGATCTACCATGAGAATCAAGAGAAGTTATTATTATTTCTACTACCATCTCTATATAAATACTCTTGAGCGTTACGTGGCTGTATTTTTATAAGCAATTATTTCAATTTTCTACATTAATTAAACGTCTTTTATATCTAGTCAGTAAATGGGTGTATTCAGAATTAAGTCTTGGCGTCTTTTGCGTGTTTGTTGCGGATATGAACTATTTAACTTCATGAGGTTCATCATCTCATGTTACAATTTAACTACTGTTGAACACATTAGTATCGTTGAAATATCCTGTGGTTTTCGTGTAGCACGCGGGGAAGGTGCGAAAGTATTTGTATAGCAGCACTAGTACTGACTCTAGCAGTAGTGTTATATGCAGTAGTAGGCCTAACATTTACAACAGTAGTAGTAATCTTAATTGCAGTAGTAATTGTCGTAGTAGCAGTCGTTTTTTAGTATTACCACAATGAATGATAGTAGATGTAATAGTAGTAATACAAGTTATTGCAGTTTAGTAGCAGTAAGGCCAGCAGCATCATTAGCAGCAGCAGTAGTGGTAGCAGCAGCAGTAGTAGCAGTAGGAGGTAGTAAGAGTTATAATACAATCATTTTATAATCGTCTTGTATCTGGGGCAGGAAAATATGTGTAAATGTGTGTATGAACTTATTCCTGGGTAGACCGTCAAATAATGTTGATTGCATGGATATATATATGTGCGTATGTATGTGTGTGTGTATGTATGTATGTCTGCTTATATATATATATATATATATATATATATATATAGTACTGTATGAATCTACCAAATTGTTGGCACTAATCAATTTAAACTTGAGATTGATTAACGCCAACAATTCGGTAGAATTCATACAATACTGTATAAAATATGGACTCCTTCCAGCATATATATATATTATTATATAAAAAAATATAATAATATAATAATTATATATATATATATAAAATTATGTGTGTGTGTTTGTGTTATTATTTTCACATTTTCTTGTGTTTATAAACGAAATGTTTTTCCAATCAAATTCAGATTCCAAAAATTTAAAAAGTTATTAGTAGCCCATTTAGCTAAGAAACAACAAGCCGAAAAAATAAGGGTATGTCGGTTTTTGTTGATGATGAAGATGACGGCGAAGATGATGATGATGAAGATGATGGAGAAGATGGGGATGCAGATGATGTTGATGATGTTGATCGTAATGATAATAATAATAATAATAAACATCGTCATGACAGGTAAGATATTTGACAGAAAGATACAATCAACTGCACAATCAGTGGATGAAAAAACTGAACCGGAAGGAAAATACTTCCGTTAAAAAGTTGTAATTATGAATTGTAAAATTATGAATTGTAAAATTATGAATTATTAATTGTATTTATGAATTGTAAAATTACATATGACTGATTCATTTAACCTATGAATTGTAATTACGAAATAATGAAATGTTGTTATAGAATTATAAATCGTCCGTAATGAATTACGAATTAGTATCAATGAATTATGAATTATTATAAATTATAATCAAACATAAAATAATTATGAATTATAGAATTGTGAGATTATGAATTACATAATAATATTTATAAAACTTTTGCTAAAATTATCTAATTTTGAACGACGTGTTTGCTAAAAAATTCAACTTACTAAAATAATTCACTAAAATTAGGGAAAAAGATGCTAAATATAAGGAGTTCTTTGAGAAAGTTTTCCCCGACTTAAAGAAACAAAAAGATGACAAATGTAAATTGCAAAGGTCGAATTATAAATTGTTTTTATATATTTTTTCTTTGGTTAGATTATTGAAGTATCATTTAAAGTAAATTTTCGGCTAAGCATTTTGGTATAATTATTTCTCTTATTATTAATTATCGTTAAAATTATATTTATTTTCGTATGATTCTGTAGTCACATCGACATGAAATCATTTATTATGCATCAGTACCACTTTTATTATTATTATTGTCGTTGTTGTAATAATTATTATTATTGATATTGTAATTGTTGTTGTAATTGTTGTTGTGGTAGGTTCGCCATGCCAGCCAACAGGCCAGCTGGTTATGCAAGGAGTGAGGCCAATATGGAGGAGATTATCAATGAGATACACGACCAAGAGGTTTGCTACGTTCTTCTCGATTTTTTTGTTGTTGATGTTGATGTTGTTGATGTTGTTGTTGTTGACGCTGTTGTTCTTATTGTTTGATAGAAGATCAATAGAACAATGATTAAGAAGTGTGTTGTTGTTAAATGCGGTTGTTGTTTCAGTTATTGATTTATGTTTTTATTTATAGAAGTAACGTACGTTGTGAATAATCCGATATTAAAAACGTATGCGTGCAAGAAAGGCGCACACATTCACACAAATACCATCACGCACACGCACGCACACACACACACACGCACACACGCGCAGGTTAAGATAGAGAGAATGAAAAAGTTGTCGATAACACCTCCTCCACTGCTGGACATAAAGAGGAGATCGCGAAGGATCGTTGACGAGAACCGCCTAATTAGGAGTATTGATTACGCTCCGAAACCATGGAACTCCCTGGAGACTGAGATATTCGCTGAGAAGTATCAGCAGTATCCTAAAAAGTTCGGCATGATAGCTGACCATCTTGAGAATAAAGTTGGTTGTTGCGGTATTGGTTGTTGATGTGAGGCCGGCTGATGTTATGGTGGTGTTTTTTGGGGTGCTAGTTGTTTGGGTATTCGTTGCTGTTTCTTATTGCTACTGGTACCAAATTTTAGCGAGTTTCTACAATCGCTACTTTTTATTTCACTGAAAATGTTCGACCATTTATTTCTACTGTTACTAATGTGGAAAATATCGAACGACGTACGAGTGATCTCAAACCTGATTGCTATATTAAAACTGAAAACATAATAGCAGTAAGAAAACTGCTAACAATAATGACAATAACACAACACTAACCAACAGACGGCCGGTGACTGCGTCCTCTTCTACTACTTAACCAAGACCGAAGCCAATTATAAACAAACCGTTAGGAGGAATCAAAATAATAGGAAGAAGGAGAAGAAGTTTAGAGGGGTAGGATGTTGTTGCCGCCTCTGATGTTGTTGATGTTCTTTTGGTGTAGTTGCAGTTCATGTTTTTGTTGTTGGTGGTGGTGTTTTTAATGTTGTTGAGGAATCTTGAAACTGATGAATAATGTTGAAGCATTTTTTTAATATAAAAAAGAATGCGGGTAGATATAAATATCGTATACAATCTGTGGCCCGACTGCTGCTAATTTTGTTTGTGATGATGATGATGGTGATGATAATGATGATGAGATAAGCAATGATGATGACGACGATGGCGTTTTTATTATTGTCAAAGTAAATACTAAAGCGCTAATGATATTGCGAAGTTGATAACAACTCTCTTTTTATATTTTCAATTCCACAGAATCAAAGCAACAACAATAACAACAACAATAATAATAATAATAATAATTATCATAACAACAACAACATCAGCAACAACAACAACAATAATAATAATAACAACAATGCTGATAAACCACAGCCCGAGATGAGGTAATACTGCTCAATGATGTTATTGATTTCGTTTTATATAGCTGTTGTCATTATTATTACTATTATTATCGCTGTTGTCGTTGTTATTATTATTATTGTTGTTGTTATTGTTGTTATTGTTGTTGTTATTTATGGAGATAAATCTCTATGGAAACGATACGAAACGTAATTTTATTTGCTTCTCAATATTCAAAAATATTAAGAAAGCAAGAAGACCATAATAGAATTTGTATAGAAATTCATCTGGTATGGTCACCTAATCAGAAATGTTCCGTGTTTAAACAAAAATTTTCAGTAAATAAAATAATAATTCTATTTCATTGCTTCTAAAGAAGCCATACTTTTCAAGTTTCTTCAACATGATGTTGTGGTTGATGCAATCGAATGCTTTGGACAGATCCAAGCATGTGCCGATTATATAATTCTTACTTTCGGCATGGACACCAATTTTCCGAATCAACTCTACGATCGCTAGTTCTGTTCAGTATTTTTCTTTGAAGCCAAATTGACAATTTGATAAAATTTTGTTTTTTTTGTAGAAAACTACTCATTCGTTGATTTTTTCCAAAATTTTCGAAAAGGTTGGCAGAAGCGCTATTGGTTTTTATTTTAGAGGGTTATATCTTAACGCGTACGATGCTAACTTGAGCTGTTAAACACAAACGTTAGGGTAGAACCGCTTTCATTCAATGAAATCGTGTCAAGTCTGCTTTATCTACACCAGTGTTTCGAGATTATTAAAATCTCTCATCAGGAATTAGCAGACTGTGTAAAAAGAATAAATATGAATTAGTGTAAATTACAATTAAATGCAATGAATAAATTAAATATGTAAAACGTAAAATATGTAAAACGTCAAGTCCAATGATAAGTTGAAAAACCAAATGGATAACACAATTATGAAATAAATTAATATAAGAAGGAAAGAGAGTTAATAACAAACATTAAAACCACAAATAAATTAAATATATAAAACGTTCAAACATCGTAAAAAAAATTTTTCAAAAAGTGTTAAAACAGGTGATCATTAAAACCATTGTATGTGCAGTATATAGAAAGACTAAAAGAAATTAAAATATAAATAACAGAGTCAGAAAAATCAAAAATACAACTCAAATTGTTAAAATTAATGCATGTGGAGATATAAATTACGGTTAGGACCCTATATTACAGTATTTTATATATAATTCGAAAAAATTAAAACGGTAAACATGTGGCCCATTATATGTGCAGTATATAGAAAGACTAAGAGAAATTAAAATACAAATAACAGAGTCAGAAAAATCAAAAATACAACTCAAATTGTTAAAATTATTGCATGTGGAGATATAAACTACAGTTAGGACCCTATATTTCAGTATTTTGTATATAATTCGAAAAAATTAAAACGGTAAACTTATAGTCTATTGTATATACAATAAATAGGAAAAACAAGAGAACTCAAAATATACGTAGTTACGTCAGAAAAATCAAATGTATAACTCAAGCTATTGAAATTATAGTATATGGAAATATTAATTACAATTGGGATCACATACAACAGTATTTTATATATAATTCGAAAAAATGTAAACGGTTAATATCTCCCCTTTTGCCTCTACCATACATAGAAAATCAAAAATAAAACAAAGTATAGATAATAAGATAAGAAAAATCAAAAGACCGAGATCACCCATTAAAATTAATACATGAGAATAACATTTACCATTGGGACTATATACGATAGTGTTTTTATATAATACGAGTAATTAAAATTCAAATTCAAAACCTGGAATGTTAGAGTTAAAATATGCCGTATCAAATATAGAAGACCCAAAATTATAAATGTATCAATAATAAATTCGAAAATTTAACACGGTTAACCCAGCTATTATTGAATATATTATATATAAGAAATTTCAATCAAGCCCAGATAATTAGTCACTTCAAAATCAAAGTTAAATTAACTATAACGGAGATAATAAATCAAAAAAGTAAAACATTCATTCATACATCATTATTTAAAAAATCATTAATAAAATCATAAATAAAAGTAGTGAAGTATACATTCGTTCCCCAGTCACCTATTCATGAAAGAGAACCCGACCCAGTGGTCTATTACCCATGTTTACACACCTCACATTCATACCACCCTTATGTTTATTAAAGAATTCGATTAAATTATTTTTAAATGTCTGTAGCCCATTAGAGAAGGGGAGAGGGATTATTACTTCCTTCCCCATTCGGTCATTATATATATCTTTCATACTGACTCCAAACATTCTATCATTCATCCCCCCATTCACCACATTCAACCCATCCCTCTCCTCGTTATGTTTTTTAAACCATTCATAAATGTTGTACCTCTTCATCACCTCCCTCAATATACCCTTCATTTCCTTAAACCCGTACCCTCTATCACCTAAGACATTCATCAACATTCTCGCCATATACCAAAAAGCCTCGAATTCACTACACAATCTAAAGTATCTAATGAATTGGGAACGGACAATCCCCCGCATCACATGCCTAGGGTGGCACGAGCTGTGGTGCAACAACGAGAGATTGTCCGTCTCCTTAAGGTGTACACAAGTATGTAATCTAAGTTTGTTATTATTAAGAAATTTATATATCAAAACATCCAGGTACTCAGTCATTCTATCATTCATACTACAGTCATTGCAAGGATATCTGCCTCAAAATTTATTTCTTGCAAGAATTCATAGATATCATCTGATTTGTTCAACAAACTTCTTATGTTTATATAAAGGACGCTGAACAAATCATCTTTATAATGTTTCTTAAGTGTAGTCATATTTGAATTGAAATTCATTACATTAAAAGTTTTACACAAGTTTTCAAGGTTTTTGTCATAATTTTCATCATTAACATAAGCAAAGATTTCATCATCCATGCTTGTTGCTATTGATGTCGTTTATTTTCTGTTGATATAAACGCCAATCTCTGACGATGATGTGCTACAGGATGAGGTCGGGGTTTTTCATTTTGGCAGCCTCACAGCTTTCAATGCACACCCTGATCATTGTTGACTCTGTGTCGTCATTGCTGGTGTTGTCAGTTGTTGAAGTATCTGCGCGTTTCACGACTGGGTAGCACGAGATGACGTTCACTTCAATCGATTTTAAATAATCACTGACGTCATTTCTGTGGCATTTCTGAACGTTGCTCATTGAGAAAAATGATTTTTTAATGAGCATTTTGTTCGCCTCGATTTTGCAGTTATCGTCGTTCTTTTTGTTACCAATAATTTTTTTCGTTGGTTTTGTGATTTTATTTCCAACAGTTTTCCCATTGTTGTCGTTGTTAACCTGGTTTCTTCCATCCATCCCAGGACTGTTATTTATTCGCGGTCTCTTTTTTGATTTAACCAGCGTGAAATGTTGTTCGATTTTTTCTGTAGGCGTCACCACAGCATTTGGCTACAGGTTGGAGTTGGTGGAATTGTTGTTGCTGCTTCTGGTATTGTTTGTTGTTGGGTTAACTTTCTCTTGAGGAACAATGGCGTTGTTTTTGATAATTGACTCGCTTGTGCGAACTTTTTCAATATTAGGTGCTGCATTATTTATCATGTTTTTTAGCGCCGATGTTTGTTTAGCATGGCTGTCAAGTGTTGTAAACAAACATGCCTGTTGCATATCGAGCATTTCATTCAGCTTTTTTCTAATATTTTCAAAATTTATTTGCACAAATTTGTCCAGCGAAGGTACTTTATTCATATTTGCACTAGCAAAAATTGCGTATTTATCAAGAATATTGTTTATTTTCATTACCTTCAAAATTACAAGGCATTCAATTAATTTATCATTTTTTCTTGTGGCTCCTTTCAGCAAACTTTTTTCCATTTCTTTATTTTTAAAGTTGTCAAACTCACTTTTCAGAACTTTAAAAGCAGACACAATATCTTCATTTGTATAGAAATTACAAATGTTACAAATTAACTACTCGTCGTCCCACAAATTCGAATTCTTTACTAAAAAATTTAACATTTCGTTTACTTTACATTTTTACAAGAACTTGCCTCGTCGCCATTTTTTCTGAAAAAACATACACACGCATGCATACATAGGGTGCTGGAGAGTTCAAATGATATGGCCGAAAACGCTGCCGTCGAGATACAAAATGGTGGCAAAACGTCTTTTAGAGAATCAACTTTTGTGCTTTTTGTGTTATGACGAGGACTCGAGTATTTCGATGAAGACTTGTGCTGGGCAGGACGTGCGAGAAAGAAGAAAAATTCTCATGCACAAAGCTGAATTGCTTTCAATGCAGCTGCTTAAGTCTATGACTGTTAGTAAATATCAGGGAACCAATGAACTTGCCAACATAAAATTACAAAAAAAATGTCAGACGTCCGTTAGTTCTGATTACACAAGAGTTTTGAGATGTGAAATTTGGTTTAAAAATAGCAATTTGAATGATTATAATTTGAAGCCGAAATTGATAACCTGCCTGGAGATGCGTAGCTAGGCTCTGGATGACAAGACAGGGAAGAAGTGGAAACATGTTGCTGATAAGCGAGGAACAGCTAGAAATATTAATTCAAATAGTAATGAGGATTATTTGTTTATTATTTGTTTATTATTGTTTCAATCAATTAAAATAACTAAAAATGAAAAAATTAAATTTAGTTTTTTGGAACCATCAACCTCCTCCTCTTTCTCTTGCACATCATCATCATCGTTATTATTGACATCATCAATGACAACAACTACAGCATCAATTTTAAGTTTGGGCAGCTCTTTTCTGACTGCAACAACAACAACGACATCAACAACAACATCATCAGCATCAACGTCAACATTTACTGCTGCTACAACAACAACAACAGTATCATCAACTACTACTATTACGACCACTAGTACAACTGCTACAACTCCTACTACAACTACTAATAATAATAATCCAAAACTTGGCACATCAACCAAACAAAAACGGGGAAAACCCGGTAATTCTAAAAATAGTAGATTAGTTGATGTGGAGAGAGTTGATGATGACAGTAGCATTGTTTCTCGGGGCGATAATAACATTAACAGTGATGATGCCAACAAAAGAGGCGATGATGACGTCAGCAGAAAGGCCGATGATGATAATGATAACCACAACAACAACAATGGTGATGATAATGATGATGATGCTTCCAAATTAAGGATGGCTGCCTTGGTAAGAAAAATTTGTCTTACTTGTTTCACTGCTGGTTATGTTTTCATTGTATTATCTTTGTGCAAAACAACAACAGCTGAATTGAACTGTTGCCACTAAAGCGTACATATGTTGTCACATTTCAATAGCGTAAGAGTGTAGGTGTGGTCATGGGAGTTAGTGACAGGGACAACATCATCAATAGCAGCAACAACATCCTGTCATCATCAATGTCAACAACAACAACGACGACGACAACCACTCACCACCAACAACAAACTAACTTACTCATCATGCCATCGCAGACTTCAAGCCTACCGACACTAACGATCGAAAATATAACTCCTCCCCTAACCCGCCAATCATCGTCAGCTTCGCAGCCACCACCACCGCCAACAACAGCAGCAGCAGCAACCACAAACACCGATGAAGGTGTTTTAACATCAACAGCAGCTACAACAACGACAACATCTTACTCGCTGCCACATTTGGAAGACATCAGCGATAAAGAGGATACGGACAGCGTGGCGACGTTGAGTGCTGACGAGTGTCCCAACCTCGGCCCAGACGACTTAAACTACCCCACTAACGACAACGTTATCAGTGCTGCTGCTGTAGCTGCTGCCACATATGCTTCTGTAAGTTTCGGTGCTTGTATATTTGCATAATTTATTTCTGCGTTGGTGATTCATTTACATAATTTATTCATACGTAATCAATTATACATCAATTGTAGGTCTCCAACAAACGCCAAAGACAACTTACTGATAACAAGCCAATGAAATACAGTAGCTATTCGAAAAAAAACCCGACAATGATGTCGCTTGATGATAACAATCTCGTGATTGACAGCTCTGTAGGTAGCGTGGTTAACTTAGGAAGGGTTGGGGCTAACTTTGAAAGGGGCATGCCTAACTTTGAAAGGGGCGTGCCTAACTTTGAAAGGGGCGTGCCTAACTTGGATAGGGGCATGCCTAACTTGGAAAGGGGCTTGTCTAACTTGGAAAGGGAAAGGCTTAATGAAGGACGCCATTTATCCGAAGAAATCCTGTTGATGAAGAGGGATGATAAACATTTGAAGATCGAGAGGTGCGTTATATTCATTTACGTATATGTGTGTGTGTGTGTATATGAATGTGTGCGTGTGAGTGTGCGTGCGTGCGTGTGAGTGTGTGCGTGCATGTGTGCGTGTACTATCTTGTCTATAATTATTTTTCATTGTATTACAGTTATAATTGAAATCACCAAATCATTGTTAAACAAACCCCGCAACAACAACCGACAGAGAAAGTATATCGATGCCCGCTTATTCAGATAACGTTTTCATCAGCAACGTCAACAACAACAACAACATCGTCAACAACAACATCATCATCAACAACAACAACCTCGTCGACAACAACAACGATTTCATCTCGAGAGTCATGCGAAAAGGCAGCCCTGCACGCATCAAGGACATCATTCACATGGCCATCGAGATAAACATTCATAATGAGCAGAAAGGTTATTACGGTGATAAAATAATACCTATCACAGTCATTATCAAACATTATATTTCACTTTTTGCTTCGCCATATTACGAATTCATTGTAGTGGTAGTTTGTGAACAAGTTTGAAATGATTGGAGAATGAATGTTCGTTCTGTCTTACAGGCTCATCAAGGAGTGCTCTGTCTTCGCCATTGGTCGCGAGCGCTGGCAACAACATCAACATCAATACCTTACTACAAAATCAGTCGCAAGCAGATCTATACCTCCAGTTGCAGCAGCAGCAACAACAACAGCATCTTGCTTCTAACTCGTTGTTGCACCAGAAACTGCAACTACTGCAACAACAACAGCAGCAGCAACAACAACAACGTCTCCTTATTTGTTTGCCATCCAAAGACATGCAGCAACTGCAAAATGATAACGCTTCATTTTCATCACCATCTCTTTTTCAACAGCAGCAGCAGTTGATGTTATTGGAGCAACAGCTGCAACAACAACAGCTGCAACAACAACAACAAGTACATTTAATTGCATAATAAATGGATTTTTTCAATAAACGTTTTTTTTATCATCAGTATATTATTGTCCACTAATGCTCTTTGCACATCCCTAATTAGGCTGGTAACAGTCGATTGTATGAGCTGGCACTAGCAGCCTCAGCACGATGTCCGTCTGCTGAAAAATCTGCCAACTCATCGGCCTCATCAGTTAGGCAGGATGCCACTAACAACCCCAACAACAACATTCCCAGCCTACAACTGACTAGCAATCTGATCGCAACAACAACAGCAACAACAAAGACAGCCAATCAACGTTCTGCTAATCTTGTTGGAGGTGGCAGCGACAATGTCGTTGGAATTGCTGACGAGGTGGGGAGAGGTGTGAACAGATTGGATGCCTCGCTAATGACGTCATCGTCGTCTCTCTTGACGTTGGTGACGTCATCTTCTACTCTGATGATGGCGACGAAACCTCTGTCCCTGGCCAGTAATAATAGGGGCTCTATAACTAAGGGAACCTCATTCCGAGCTGAGAACGCTATACAGCAGCAGCAACAACAGCAGCTGCAACAACAGCAGCTGCAACAACAGCAGCTTCAAAATCTCCAACAACAAAGTTTATTTCATCAACAACAACAGCAACATTTGTTACAGCAACAATCTCAACAACAGTTTGTTGATAGAATAGATCAACAAAAACAACAACAGCAACCACAACAACATTTAGACAAACAGCAGAATGTGTCAAAGAAACAACAAGCATGGCAGCAAAATGTGTTGTCGGCTGGCCTGGCAGGTCTAACGACTGGCCACAGTCATGGTTCAATTGATTATTTATCGTCTTCGCACGTACTGGCCGAAGATTTTCTAACTGCACATCAGATGAATAAATCGCAACTGCAACAACAACTTCAGCAGCAGCAACAACAACAGTTCAATCTGCAGCAACAACAACAACATCAGCAACAACTTCAGCATCAACAACAACATCGTGTATCGCCACCTTCACAATTGTCCCCATTAGCACTGACGGCATCAACTTCAACAATAACATCGGTCCTGAACTTGCACACTCTAAAGCAACAGAAAAATATTCCAGATAGAACAGCGCACAACTACCAACAACAACAACAACAGAAGCATCATCAACAACTACAAAAACAACAGCAAATGTATTCAAATCACTATGATATGCCAGCAACATATACAAAAAGTTATGATAATGAAGTTAATGCTAATGAAACTTCACAAGAGACTGACGCACAGTATGAACTTGCTAATGTTAAAAGTAAATCCAAATTAGATGCAGCACAGCTGATACACCAGCAACAACATCAGCAACTACTTCTACTACAACAACATCAACAACAACAACAACTGTTGCAACAGCAGCAACATTTGCTTTACAAACATTCAGCAACGTTGACAAATCAACAACAACAAGCGCACCAGCAGTTGCAACACAAACAAGCATTGCAAACAATGTTGATGCCTGAAAAGTTGGCAGCAGTGTCG